ACGCTCTTTCATCTAAACTATGAAAATTATGGGGTCAGTTTGACTTCATCTTTTTCAAAAATAAATTTTTAAAAAAAAAAAAAAAAAAAAAAAAAAAGAGATTAGCCAACATAAATTAAATGAGCAATATTCTCATCATTAATATCAACAACCTGATGAGGAACGTAGGTCCAAAAGTCATGGCGTCGCCTTATTCGGAATTTGACCAAAGAAGACATTGCAGTGGGAACAAAGTTCGGCAAGGGTGCTCATCAAAATTTTCCTCTTTCTGTTCATCGCAAAAGAGTGGAGAGGAAGCCTGAGGTCTTCTTTGAAAGCACCTTTTCATTGAGGGAAGTTCGTTTAAAGGTAACTTCTCAAAAAAAATTGCTATAAATTATGGTTGATTAAACAAAATCCTGTTTGAAAACTACATTTTTTACATGCCTTTCAACACTATGACTTAAAAAAAAAGAAAAAGAAAAAAAAAAAAAAAAAAACTACCAATATGCCCCTGAAGTTAACATCCAAGGACTTACATACCAGGACATGTAGAAGGCATCATCTTCCTGGGCGCATCTTATTTTCTAGCGGGTAGAGTGGAGAGCTCCCAAATCTTCTCCCGTTCAGTCGCAAAAGGCATCATCTTTCTGCTCGTTGGGTTGGTGCAATGAGAAGGCGAAGGTGGAAGATAAGTGAAGTTATTTGACCGTGTGCGATAAAGAAGATGCATTCTCCAATGCACGAGCTGCTTTTTCGTGTGCCGAGCTTTTTCCATGAAATGTGGCGTGCATGGAACCTGGCCGAACGACAATCTTTGGGCACCATCAGAGCTTTTTCAGCGATTAAAATGGTGTCGGGAGAGGCCGCAGAGGATATTTTGGACATTTTTTTAACTGTTTTGTGAAACATAACGGTTGCGTAACTAGCCGTCAATCTGGACGCGTAACCTAAAAAACGGGTCTTTCCAACCTTTTCCCCAAAAAAATGTCTCTCCACCCCGCCCATGAGTGTTCCATGCCCGACCCGACGATGAGGCGGTGATGGTAATCCAAACTCAACTCGGAGTCTCGAGACTCATCGGCTCCTCCGTTTCCCAACTCCCAAGCGGACCCAGCGGTTTACCTTGCTTCCTCAGGGGTCGAGGGGTTCTAGCGGGCTTCATAGAGCTTCGCCATCGCGTCGGCGGTGACTGTGGGCACGGTCTTCGACTCTTTTTCTTCCCGTTTGTATCTGGTTTGGCTTTTGCTGCCTTCATTGCATAACGAACAATCATAATGGGAGAACTCGAGAGCAAACGCGGAAGCGCCTCGAGCGAAATTCGAGAGCGGGTCTTCTCACGCCTCAGACCCTACTGCATGGAGCTCCTTGAACTCACTCAAAACCCTAGGAAGAATTCATCCTTTCTCGTCGAGATGACGGACTTCATTCGCTGGGCTCCCGCGGCTGACCTTCAGCCTTTCCTCGAGTTAAGCTCTTCTCTTTAATATTGCTATTTTGTTTTCCGGCTACCGTTTTTTGGTTTTTTGATGATTGGTAAGATGAAAAGTTATTGAAATCCTTCGCATTTGATGTTCAGTTATACCTTGCTCCCTCTCCTGCTTGTGCTGGACATGGCCGTTCAGTGCAGGTCTGGGAAGAATGGCAATTCAAGTGGCTGCCATGCTACACCCGATTCCCATTTTGGTGTTCACCTGATTAGTGATTCTGTGGCTGAAGGCACGTTGAGGTGTCTGGAGGAACTTCTTAGGAAATGTCATTTAGGATCTGTGAATCAGGTCAGTTATCTATTTACAATGCTTTGATTTATTTTGGGCTTTAATTCGAGTTGGAATTGTTGGAGATCATGACTAGTATTGATGGTGGTATATAAAATCTTTTAACTTTTGTAATTAACTTGGAAACTATGAGATGTAGCTCGTTAGTTCTGATTAGGAAAATAGTCTCTCAGATGCTGTCACATTTAAGCGTGTTAGATAAGATTCTTTTGCTAGTAAAGGGAGACAAATGAATGCCATGTGGGTGCTTAATAGTTGTTGATTTTCCTTCAGTACTGCCAATTTACGAGAGGGAATTCGAATGTGAGTATTGTTGCTGTTTCACTGAGCAAAATAAACTAGCGAGGGCACAAATGCTTTCTATTTGCTGAGGTGTGCAGCTTAGAGGTACCGTTCAATGAAGTTAGCTTTTTATTTAATGTTTGTTTGAGACATGAATATGTTCATATAACTTATGGATGCACAAATGAATAAGAATGGGAATATTTCATTGTGAAAGGCCCAAATGAACTCTTTTTTTCAATTGTCAACAATATTAATCATGTTAACCTAAAAGTATTAAATTACGTGGACATTTATGATAAAAAAATAAATAAGCATAAGCCCAATGAAAAGAATGCTTAGCTACATATATCCTTAGATCAAATTTTTGGAGTGCAAGTTGAGAAGAACAATAAAAAAGTTTGATTTTTCTTCTTAGAAAACTAACACACCAAGGAAAAGATCGTACTTTTCCTCTTATGAGACCATAAAGAGCTTAAGCTGACAACTCTTCTTCCTTTCAAAAAATCTCCGATCCTTTAAAAAATATTGTACAAAGAGCTGCACATGTATTTGTTAATGGTGAATGCACATGACACGACACATTTTAAAATTTGCATAAAACATTAAAAAATATGAATGATTAATCAACAATTTAACAATATAAGAGATCAAAATGTAAAATTCGATTATGGTAGCCTACTTGAAAATCAAGGAAGGACAATACACAACAACAACAAAACTTTAATCCCACTACGTGGGGTCAGCTACATGAATCCTTTTTTTCCATTGCGTCCTATTTAGGGTCATATTTTCATTTAGTTCTAATAAATTAAGATCATTTTTTATACACTAAGCCCAAGTCTTCCTAGATCCACCTCTGACTTTCTTAACATAAGTCGAATCTAAAACATCTACTCTTCTAATAGGATTATCAGTCGACGCTTAATGTGACCAAACCATCTAAGACGACTTTCTCTAATTTAGTCCGTCACAGGAGCTACACTAACCCTATCAATGAAAGATAATAAACTAAAAAATTAAAATTGTCATGGCAATTATAACAATTAGATTTGCAAATAAAGCTTTTATCGTTTATAATTTTAACAATACATAATATTACGTGTAAATGCTAAATATTCAATGCAGTGTGGCTTTCCATGAGATGATAGTTCTATAAATTAAACAAATTAATTAATCATAATCATACAGTTTAAAATAATGATATATTAACATAATATTGATAACATGAAATTAGATCAAGCAAAATTAATCATAACTAAAAAAAAATCTTAATTCAACAAGGTAAAAAATGAATGCGATGACACGAAGGAAAGGGCAAAATAATTACTTTGCTAGAAAAGGGAGTCCATTGGCATCTTTGCAAGATGTTGAATAACATCTAAGATGAGGGATAAGAAAAAGTGTGCTCCTTGTTGGCCACAGATATTCTTTGACATACTTGTTTTGCGTGCTTCAAAAGTTCATTTTGCTGCATCTTCTAGATCTTTCACTCGTTGCTTTTAGATGTCAGAGACATATAGCTCTTCTAGGTTATGTTTTTGGCAAATTTTTTAGACGATGATGACAAGTTTTGAATTGATGGCGGCAATTATTCTTTTATGATTAACGACTCATCTATTTTAAATAATGATAGACTCCCTTATTCATGTTGCTTGCTTTTTTGTAGAATGCTAAAGATCTTATTGAGTGAATAAGCACAATTAGCATGAGCTGTTAGACGAGATAAAACGAACCCAAATATATTTTTAAAAAATCTTTAAACAAAAGCCAAGGTCAAATAAGTTTAAAATAAATCAATAAATTAGAAAAAGTGAAAAATAGAAAGTAGAAAAGTAAATAAAAAAAATAGCATTTGATGTGCGCCATATGTTCTAATGGACTCATTGCTCACATGATACACATTATTTAGTTTCATTGTACCTTGCTATACTAACAATACAAAAGAAGCATTTTGCCACACCATAAGTTACATTATGCGCTATTTTATTCTATTGATATGCATGCCACACATCTTTTATTTTTACATGATCTTTTAAAGTGATTGGTCCTTGCTCTTGATGAATAGGGAAGCCTACATCTGGGTCATTTTGTGCTAACTTATGGTAAGACTTGGGGAGGAAAATTATAAGATTGCCCTTTTTATGTGGTACAATTCATAAAACATCCTCATCATGGTATCAAATCCTAAAGTCCTCCATATTATTAAAGAATAAAATCGATAATCTTCCATGCTTCAATCCCCCAAAGCCTTCATCGATAACTAAACAAATCATTCTAGTTGAAAACATTCTTTGAATTTGAGAACATAAAACACATTTGTAAGCTTGTTAGCTACAGTGTGCTATGTCCAAATTTTAAGATTTTAAATGTCTCCTTCAGTTTTCTCTTTGATGAAGTGATATCAAAGTTTTTAATATATTGGTACTCTCGTATTATATATGGTCTTTAGTTGAGACTCACTCCACATAAAGGAATCAATGCATTTCAACTCTAAACCAATGTTTCATTGGACTGACTTGATTCATGTTAATGCCATGTTCGAGTAGTCATTTTCTAGAGAACTGATACTATACGAGCATAATCACTTGACTAATGATTTTAGAGTTGACAATTTAAATTCTTTGCCCCTAAGAGATGGAGGTATTTCTTGCTGCATTTCTGTAAAGCCTTTGTAGCTTTACCTATCTTCTTTGTCATTAAATAAGCTCCTCTAAATGAATATAAACCTCAGCTCCTCTATAATCTATGAAGCATTACTATATGTATATTCAATTTTATCTTGATAAAGAAAACCTAGTCACTAACTTGCTCAATTGGAAGTTTTTTCTCGACACAATAAGCTGTCAATTGAACCGAATAATTATCATATTGCAGCGGCCGAACTAATTGATAGAGGCAAGTAGAAGACTGATCTTTGGCCGAGTGAATCCAAGTAAATGGAGCAACATTAATTTCAACGTATACGACATAAACGCATCCAAATTTTAAATTTGAGCATGCATGTTGAACTAAGGAGACCTAATTGGGTTTCGCTATATGAGGCTTATCATTGTAGATATGTCGTTTATATAGAAGCTTGCATAATGTACCAAGAATTAAATATCAATTTTGGTGGACAGAACTAAAGAGGTATGTGGTCAACATTTATGGGTATGCGTTTAACTTGTGGAGTGGTGAAAGCCGATCATCAGAGATTTGCAAGCCTTGCCTTTATCAACTTCTAAATGAGAGTATGTTTACTCATATCGTTATACTTTCATGACACAGTATTGGTACTTGTTGATTGACTAATGAAGAGTGCATATTTCCTGCCTACACAATAAGTCTCGACTATAGATCAACTAACTCAATGATTGGGGACAATTTTTTGATTGCACAAAATACTTGGATCAATACTATTTTGCTAGAATAGTTGATTCATATCTAAATTATGAAATAGAATCCTAGTGTGATGGACTTTGTGTTGCTTTCAATACAATCATCCATTTGCGGATCAATTGATAGTTTGAACAAATGATCTAAACTCTATAAGACTACTGACTGTGTATTCTTTATTTTGGTGGTAATTGGGAGTTACATTTCTAATAGTGTGGTAATTTTGAGTTCCATTTCTAATCGAGTTTGCCATCAAGGAACAACATTCATAAACACATTGAAAAGGCTTATTTTGAAGCATTGTATGGATATAAATGCTAATCATCTCTCTATTGGTATGACAAGGGAACTATGATGAAATCACAAATGGTACATTTGGCCGCCATAAAAAAGAGGTTGTTCTATGACTCCGAAGTAACTCAAAATAGATAATGAAAACATGATGATTTGAAGCACGAGGATGATCACTTTAATGTAGCAACTGAGTGTTTCTTAGGCCATCCCCTTGAGAGGTGTCAAATATTTGTCAGGAGTAGGGAAGCTTAATTCATGTTATATTAGGCTAGTCAAAACAAAAGACCAAGTAGGGCTGATAGGTTATCGAGTGATCCTACCATCTAGCTAGTCTTGCACTCATTATTTTTCATATCTCTATCCATAAGTGTATTGTGCTTGGCTATGCATGAGGTTTACTCTGATCTAGAAAAGATACAAGTGCAATTGAATTGATTCATGAGGATTTCTTCGAACAGATTGTAGCACTCAACAACTAAAAGTTTGTATATTGAACTCGACATGAACACAACTTTTGCTCGACACTAGAAATCCAAGTTGCGTCCCATCGTGAGTGACTAAAAAAAATTGGTCTGGTTTGGGTCAAATTTGGCTCAACCCAATATGAATGACTTATTTATTTGATTATTTTAATAAAATCTCAGATTTAATTATTTTTTATTTTTATTTTTTAAAGTTTCATGTCAAAAGTAATTTTGTCCATTTTAGTTTGAGTTGACACTAATCAATTATGATTTAAGTATTTCTTATGTTGTGCCAGCTTGGATTCAGGTTTGGTTTAACCAAGTTAAGTTTGAGATTTTTAACTTATTTAATTAATATGTCATGTTCAGATTGACTATATTTGTGTTGGGTCTTTTTTTGGGTCGGATTGAATTGACCTGTGGGCTTGAATTGATACCCTTACCAACAACAAAAGCAGTTCTGTGGTAAGAAGATTTAGATGGTCAACATCTTCTTGAGGAATCAAATGAAGTTTGAAGCACTGTGGGAAGTTGAAGTTGATTAAGGAATAAAGAGCAAATACCTTTTCTCTTTGATGACAGATGCATACATTTTGTGGTTTAAATTTCTTTTTAAGATAGAATGTAAACTTAAAATTTTGATATTTAGATTCCTTTTTCTTTTTGGATGTGTGTTTATCATTTGAGCATAATTTTATATAGACTATATTTGTGAACGTAGATGTAATTGCTGGGAGCAACCGGTAGAAGTGGGAGCGTGTAACTAAGCATAACTGTGAACATATGACTAAATGAAATTATGAGAGTGAAGATCAATATCCAATGCTATTTTTTATGCTTTTGGTCTGGTCAGTGTGTTCACTGTGATTCCCTAATTGTTCGTCCATTCGAGTAGATATGCTTTGTGGATATTTGGAAAGTAGCTTCCAGAGTGTTGCTTTGTGTAAATGTGATTAAGAAGGTATCTTTTGTTGTCCGAGGGAGGTAGATGGGCACCATTTTGGTGACCAATAACCTTGGGTTTCCCTTTACAATCATTATTTAAGAGGCTAGATTAAATGCTGTTGTTGCTATAGTAATTCAAAAAGAGTAATTAAAGCTAATCTTTCCTTCCTTTTTGCTGAAATGGCTTGCTGTGAGCACTGTTCAACAAAGTTAGCTACCCAATAGAACTACCCAATAGAACTGGAGCTCAGTGATTGTTACTCTTTGTATCTGCATAGAGGTGGGAGATCTTAATCATTGAGTGTAGCATTTTTCTTTTATATTTTGTTGGATGAATCATATTGTTCTTTTACTTTTGTTTGTAGTATGAGAATAATGGCTTGAATATCTTATTCTTTCTTATGAACACATCTATGATTGTAAATTAAGACGAGTAAATGCTAAATACCTATGTTTGAGAAATTTGAAACAGTTTAGAGTATGTGAAATAGATGGTGTGCTTAGTGGTGTTGATATTGAGCTAAGCATACTGTTTTGCATTCCTGATTGAGTTGACGGCTTTGAGCAAAAATACTCTCATAGGTTTTAGTTTATCAACTTGGCGAGGATGAAATTCTGTTAAGAGGAGATTGATGGATCTCGGGGGGTCTCGGCCTTATAGTGAAGAACCATTAAATTCCGACGTTGACCATAGAATGCAACACCTAACCTTGCGTGATAACGTGAGCTAGCTTTGGGCCTATGATTACTTGAATTGATAATGATGTGTATGAATTGGTTGCATACCTATGTTTATGAATAATAAGGGGTTTTTGTTTTTGTTTTGTATTTATTGACGTAATTGACATGGACTAGAACTAGTCTTTGTGATGTAGTATAACTCATCAAATCTTAGTTGTACATGCTGAGCTATTCGTGTTTTTAAAACTTTAATGTGCTAAGAATTTTCGCCCTAGTTTTTCTCACTCAGTTATTTATCTTTGGGTAACAGGTTGAGTCATTGACATAGGTTGGGGATGGTAAGTAGTAAGGAAATCCAGCCAAAGTCTAACTGAGCGAGTTAGAATTTTTGTTTATTTCTTTTTCGTCTATGGTTGTAAGTACTGACGTTATAAAAGTTAAATTTAAACTCCTTAGTATACATAATGTTTGATCTAATAGTGCCAAGTCAATCTTGTTAATTTGTGACCGTTGGGATGTGTGTTCTGCTTGGATTGTTGTGTATTGATTTGACCAGTACCTGATTATTGCGCAAGGCATAATGGACTACATGGTTTAGACGAGTTCAACTGAACGTCTGGTTGTGACAATGGCCACTGCTCCTAAATTTAACGCGTGTTTAATTAATATTAAAAAAAAGGATGAGTTTTAGAAGCTCCACTTGTTAATTATCCTATCACACTGAATTACTACCTAAAATTCTAAGCTATCAGCAAAACCTTAACCACGATTTATAAAGGTTTGCTATTTTCTTTAAGTACAAATGAGCAGGCTAAGTAGCGGGATTTCTTGCTTCTTGTTCATGATGAAATGTTGTCTAAGAAAATTCTGCTTTCACTTTGGTATTTCAGATGATTCTGGTGCTAAAAAAAATAACTTATGGGGCCTTGCTTTCACCATCCGCAGCATCTGAAGAATTTCGTGAAGGAATAATAAAATGCTTAAAAGCTATGCTTCTCAGGCTACAACCTTGCTCCGTCGGATTATGCCCATGCAAGGAAATTTTTATTTCTCCCTTGCTGGCTGCCACAATTGAACACCATTTACCCAAGTCATCGTATTATGAAGAACCAGAAGAATGCTTGCTATCATTTCTTCAATCTAAGGATGCTTCTGCTGCTGTAGGTCACTGGCTATTACTACTTCTCCAGGTAAGGAAAACAAGGGCCTTCTGAATATCCTTTGAACTCACCATGGTGTGTTAGCTTTCAGGTTGGCAATATTGTTAATGCTCTAGCATATTTAACTCTCTGGTTAATTGACTCTTTGCCTTTTTATTTACTTATTAGTTGTAAATATACAAACCGGAAGTCTTCAATCTTATTTATGTATTGATGATCTCTGTGAAGGCATCAGAGGCAGAAGCCGCTAAAGGGCATTGTGGAAGTGCGACCCTTCGGAAAGAGGCATTTCTTACTCTTCGTGTGCTTGTTGCAAAGGTTAGTGCATGTCTCTCACAGTAGAAATTGAACATACAAATAATAGAGAATGCCAAACATGTTCATCAGTGGTTGTTATTTGATCACTATCTATCCCTAGTATATCTTGTCATCAGCTTTTTAAATTTATTTCTCTAGGTTTTTATGCGTATTTGGTCGTTTTCTTTGCTCCTACCACTTGGTTTTACCATTAGCAATGCCATGGTGATCATGGTACTAAAATTTATATTCCTGTTTCAATGTAGATAAAATTATTAATTGACAGTGCTTCGGTCAGTCCACCCTTTTATTCGTTCTTCATAATCATTGTTTGTGCCAGGGAGTTGGCCGTTTACATGCAATATTGGACCATCACTTTGTGGCCTTCTTATGTCACTAATGGGACTAGTTGATTTATTTTTCTAAATTTATTTGTTCTGGAGCATATTTTTGTAAATTTCTGAGTTATCTATGATTTTGTGTGTCCCTGTAAGAGACTTTATTTGTATATTCACCCATATTTTGCTGTTTGGCCATTTACTATGGTATAGTCTGTTCTATTATGGCGGTATCAAATGTCCTTATATTGATTCTTTTTGTTAAATTTTTACGGTTAGAAAGGACCTGGAGAACCTTTGTTGTATATCTGGAAACATATTACTTAAAAGTGGAAGTACTGAAATTCTTTCTAACACATATAAAGAGTCACATTATACACTATGTGGTTACCCTTGCTTGGTTTTACTTGGAATGAACATTTTGCTTGTGAAAGAAATTTTGCGTCAAATTCTCATGAATTGAAATAAAAAGGACAAAATTACAGCTACATAATAAAAATACAAACAAGGAAAGAAAATATTATAGAGAAAAGTAAAATCAAATACTAGATCTAAAAAGTTCTAGAGGCTTATTAGTAAAAATTTGAAACTCTTGTTATCATGAATCCATCCAAAAGAGGCTTGAGATAAAACATTAAATCATTTTCTTTAATCATTCTCAATAGTATTCAAATGCATCCATTATTACTTTTATATATAATGTTCCAGTTTTCTAGAGTAGAGACTATACAAATATCACAAACTTCTATAGCATTTTTTTTTAATAAAAAGATATATGTATGGGAAAAATTTGGATCTTAGGAAACAACATAATATGAACCCCTTAAAAAGCACAGGACATTTCTAACTATTGAATGAGCACTAAATTTTATTTAAATATGGTCATGTTTTGGCTTTTAAATTTACCTTAAACATTTATGAAGAAAATGTAAAAACCTTTGAAAATATAACTTTTAAATATTGACAAAAATAAATCTACCATTGAATTTTTAGGAGTAGCTTAATTGTATGCTTTATTAGGAAGGAATATATTTCCTTTACTCGGAATATATTTCAATATTTGGTTTTTTCTTTATTCGATATTGCCTAATTTTTTATTTTTGTATTTTGGTGGTTTCTTTAATTCAAATTGATTCTATGCTCGATTAGGAAGGAATACATTTCTTTTACTCGGAATATATTTGAATATTTGGTTTTTTCTATATTCGATATTGCATAATTTTCCATTTTTCTATTTTGGTGGATTCCTTAATTCAAATTGATTCTGATTTCTTATTTTTTGTGGATTGGTATGTCGATTCCTCTATTGCATAAAATAGGGCATAATTCATTATCTCGGTGAATAAAAAAATTCTTAGAATTCATTCATGTTCACCTCTGCCCCATATACTATCCAAATTTATGATTCAAGAAGGTTTTCACGGGTATATTAGAAAAAAAAAACTATCTAAGTTTATGATTCAATGAGATTTTCAAGTTTATACTTAAAAACTAAGAGACCTAACTCAAGCTCAAAATATTACTTTGGACACAGTTAACGAATGCATGATAAGCTTTGATGCCCTTTGTGTATACAATCTGCTAAACTTCTTGCAGTTCTAAAAGCACAAGCAGAAAGCAACTTTTATATCCGTTGCACCATTATGTGTTGGTTAAACATTTTTCTCAACTCCATAGAAATTCCATTGTAGATCTACACACTTCTCATGTTTAGAACACATTATCTAAGGCATTACTCAAACATGAATGGAGAAATGCTAGAAGGAACTAAATGCATTGAAAAAAAAATCATCGGACTTATCAATTAATCTAAAGGAAATGTATAGAACATTTTAAATGGGTGTTCATATTGAGATTTAAGATCGATGACTCTATTAAAAGTTGTAAAGTAGGATTGGTTGCTAAAGGGTATGCATGGACATATGAAATTGATTATTAAGAGATATTTACCTATGTGGCAAAGGTGAACAAAATAAGAATTTTGTTTATCTCTAGTAGCACAATTTACATCTTTAAATATGAGGGTAAGAGTGACTTTTTACACGAAGTTCTACTAGAAATTCACCCGAGTTTTCTTTTTTGCATTTGAAGTAAAATAAACACAATTAACTGGCTGTATAGTGTAAAGCAGGCTCTATATGGTTTATGAAGAGAATTTGGTACAAAGTCAGAGATTACACTCATTTCGTCAAACATTCAATCAAAGGGAGAGTTACAACACCTTTGGTATTTGTTGATAATTGGTTACTGTAAATGATGAGAAAGAAAAATAAAATATGAGAATATTTGATAAAGGAATTTAATATATAAGAACTCGAAAAACGGAATAATTTTCTCGAATTTAAAGTTTCATACTTTTAATCAAATGATTTTAATCTCTTTGTATAGTTATATTACAGAGCCGTCCCCGGTTAGTGGGATAATTGTTTGTTGTTGTTATTGTTTGTAGAGCTATATTGTATATTTCTTGAAGGAAACTAGAAATTTAGAATAAAAATCAATTGTTACACCAATTAAGCCAAATAAAAAACTTGGAAAAGCAAAAGAAGCAACAATTGATTAGGAGATGCTTCTAAGATCGATAGAGAAACCCATCTACCGTACTCGCACAACCAAATATTTCATATTGTTATCATCTTTCAATTCAATTACGATCTGATAGAGTTACATCTTCGAGCTTCCTATTATGTATAACATACCTAACACAATTCAGGTAAATGAATTCTATTCAAAATAAACAATAAACTCCCTTTATAAGTAGATGGGGCAGAGGTGAAATCTTATTCTGAGATCGGTAGCTTACACAAGTTCATTAGTAGATGGAACATTATTATTAAATATTTGGGATATTTTTTTAGTAGAAATCTTGTGACATGGAGTAAAAAAGCATAGTAGTAAATTCTAATGTTGAAATTCAAAGCTATGCCCTGAGTAATTTCTGAATATTAGGGTTAAAAATCATCTAAAATGAGCTAAGAATCAAGCGAGATAATCCTATAAAAGTGCATCATGAAAGCAAATCAACAATAAATTTCTCTTAAAAAATTAAAGAAATGATCTCTTACCATCGAAGCGCTTGAATGCTTGCCTGTGCAGCTCGCCCATATCGACCATCATTGTGGGGCTCCTTCTCATCCATTTTTGCGTTGAGTTACATTATTCGACGCAGAGGCTTGTGCAACTGTTCTGTGCAGCTATCACCCGAGATCACGAGGATTTCGCGACGCTACTCTGTCATGATCATCCGTGTATAGCTCGCCAGTGCTGCCAGTTATCACAAGGCTCATCTTGCCTTTGTCCAGGCTAGGTCGCGCAAGCTCTGCTGGGCATCCTATGTGATATTGCTTTCATGGTGGTCCTCTGCCGCTCACCTGTATTGTTATTTTTTATTGCTCTTTTTCTTGACAATGCCTTGAGTATTAGTCTCACGTTTGATGGCGTCAGTATCAGGTGGCATTCTTACGTCTTTATTAGTCTCACGTCTGACAATGCCTTGGCATTCTTTCTTGACAATGCCTCCTACCACCTCTCATCTTTATCATCTTGCTCGCTCCCTTTGTCTTCGATTGATGCATTAGCTACCGTTCAAATTGCCAACCCAAATCGATTTCCTTTGCTGTTGATTCTTCAGCAAGCTCCTTTGCTTCCCTTTTCTTTTGCCCTTCCCATTGTTGCAGTTGAAATCCCTATTGGGTCCAATATACCTCTTCCTACTGAACACCTTCACTGTTTTTCTATTTTTGCTGGTGGGTTAAATGATAGATCTCATTTATTTTCTACTAACAATTATTTCTTCATTTATTTTAGGGGAAATGCAATTTCAGTACCTTATAAATGTTCTACTATATATTAAGACATAGTTCTTGTCTTTTATTATGATGAGATCATTGAGCTTGCTAGATCTCTTTACTTTTCTATTTTTAGAAAATTTTTTTGCGGTGATCCTAACAAGGAAACCATCCATAAGTTTTTATTAAATTTGAAATTGGTTGGCATGACACTATTTTGTTAACCCCCTGGATTCTCGTCATATCATAATCAAGCTAATCTCAGATGCTGATCATACTAGGATCTTTTTTTTCTCTAGACTTATTATATTAATGAATTCCCAGTGTGCATGCTAAAATGGTTAGCTCACTTTGACTCTTCAGAGAAATCATTTACTCCTGCTTATATCATTTTCTCATCTTTGGCTACCTTATTTCAACGAGTCCTCACTGTAATCATTAGGATAAATATTTGAAATACTTTTACAAAAAAGATAATGCTACAACTTGTACAAGACTTTCGACGGCTCCTGTATTAGTTGAGCTAGATGTTACTTCTCATTTTTAAAAAGAAGTGTGAATTGACTTCTCTACTTGTGGATATTGGCTTAAAATAAAATTTGAAGGCGTCCTGGGCTGCTCATCTTGTAAAATTTTTTGTTATTATTTTATTGAATGTTTCAAGATGCATCCAAAATTAAGATAATTAATTTCTCAAACATAAGAGGCATTAAAAGAAAATCGGAGTCAACTTGCGATCTACTTGGAAGCGTTTCAATCTCGTTAATCAAAATGTGGGACTAGCATTTTTTTTGGATATCAAAGATCTTGCTCCTTCCTGTCATCAAATAATTGTTGTTTCTTCACCTCCACATCATTTCATTGATCTAGAATCACTATATACAACAAATCCTTT